TCAATATCATTGGCATAGTACTGACTCATGACTCATGGATAGAAAGTTATAAGGTGAATAACATAATGTACTATGGCTTTTCCAAGCACTACCCACCCGTAATCAAAAACGCTATAAGACTAAATTATACTTTGAAATATGAATTCAACTGAAAGGTGGAAGGATGTTTGTTTTTTATCACAGCTAACCTGTGAAGACTATGATAGGACTATTAAGATGCTAAAACTTAATAAGTTAATTATCTATTGTTTCAAATTACCTTTCGTAATTTTGCAGATATTGACTGATGAATTTCTAGCCTGCTAAGAGGATAAGTTGTTCAGTCTTTTTCAAGACATTCAGGCTATCTTCAGCGATTATAGATAAGTTTAAAAAGACTAATTTCTGAGCAAATAAAGGTATTAATTTCAATAAATCTTCTTCACAGTTTATGCGTTTCTTCATCCCCAAAAATAAATGTTATTGACAACTTTTGTGTTGCTATATAGTGCAGGGACCTGACGTGTGAACAGAAGTATTTCCAGCAGTCTGTAGATTTCTATAAACAGCCGTCTTCACTCTGCACTGAAAATCTGATTAAAGGAAGAAACAAACGAGTAACGGTGAACTCCTGTAACAAATCAACCAAGAACCTATTCCCCCAAAAATATGCCGAAGAAAATGAAGATGGAGAGGAAATTTTCTGAAGAGATAAATGAGTGACCTCATGCGTAAAGCAGGCCCTTGAGTGGAAGTCCAGTGGGAAGCTATGCATTAGGCATGCGACCCTAGGTAACATGGAGGATATTACGTGAAGAGAAAATGATAGCTCTTATGGAATCATTCAGCCAGCTTTCAAAGATAGAAAGGGACAGATCACATTGAAGATGTGTGGGTGAAGCCTTAAGTTCCACTTAGAATTCAAGAAAAAGAGAATATAGTATTAGTCAGCCGAAAAGGTGAGACAGTTGGTCATGAGGACAGAAGTCTCACCTGGTAGAAACAACACCACTGCAACCGAAACTTCAGAGCTTGGAGATTATGTGTAAGTCTTAACGCAAAGAATAAAAATTAATCAAGTAAGTATAGTTATATCACACATTTCTTTGCAAAATGTCGTTGGATTATTATCAATCAGTCTGTTTAAGATCGAATTATTAGGATTGCTTATTTGACGGGAAGTGTAGATCATGGTGTCGTGATTTAATTTAGGAGCAGAAATATAAATGCAATATAAGACACATATATATTTCTATACTCCTGGTCGAGAAAAAAAAACTAAATAAAATGTTACATTGAATGTTGAATAAACTAGTTCCTAAAAGCAGTTATAATAACATCTTCTGTATAGTTTTTTATGGACATATCCTTTTTAACTTGCTTTAAGATGAAGTAGTTATTTAAAACACCAGACGTGTGCTTGGAATAAATTGATTATTAATATAAAAGAAAATTGTTATTAGTCCTAAATTTATCTTTATTAGTGAAAGATGATAGTAAAACATTTACGACTCAAAACAAGTCTACAGTGAATTGCACGCGTTTATCAACTTTCTCACTAAAAATAGCAAAATGTTACATATTTGGTACATGATGAGATTAAAAACAGCGGCCTATAGACTAAAAGGCGGACAACCAAATAAGTGAGGTATGAGACCACGTCTGGAGTCCCTTCAGTTCTGATCCATCACCAGTTTGCCAAGCGAATATTGTCTGTTGACGTCTCACCAGAAATGCTGTTCTGACTATATTTAAAATTTGTCATTCTAAAGGTCCCCTTTTTTATAGTATTCTTAGAGGGAAGGTGGAAGAAGTCTTCGCAAGCGCTTAAATATTTCTGCGTTCTCTCTACAAACAGCAAACAATTTTAAGATTTCATCATGAGCTGACATTAGTTAGAGAACTATTGGAAAACCTGGGAGTACTGGACAGCTGTTTCGTCCTAGTTTGGGACTCTTCAGCAGTACGCACCCACCGGGATTCGAACCCAGGACCTTCCGGTTACAAGGCGAGCCGGTGGGTGCGTGCTGATGAAGAGTCCCAAACTAGGACGAAACAGCTGTCCAGTACTCCCAGGTTTTCCAATAGTTCTCTAACTAATGTCAGCTCATGATGAAATCCTGAAACCAATCAAATCCCTACAAACCATCACTTGAAAAACAATTTTAAGACAAAATTGAGAAAGTTTGAAAAACGCTTAAGTGTTTTATGTTCTGCATTTCGCTAGTGTAGTGTGATTTGCCGGTCAGTTTGTGTCTAATCTCATAATTTTCTTAAATTAAATAGCTCCAATACCCTTTATCTTTCATCAGACAACATAAAAAGTTGAACTAATTTTCGTTTAAATGTGTTGAAAAGTTGTTGCAGATTAGTTTATATTCAAAAGTAACCGTATCACTGGTTAATCAGATAGTCGAATTCTTATGTCTAACATTATTTAGTATGACATTATATCCATCATTTTGCTGAGAGGCATATACTTCATAAAATAATGGTCTGGACTTCTGGATTATTGCATACTTTAATGCATGTATCACATTTACGTAACTTTTGTTAATAGCAACATAGAAAAACAATAAGCAACCGTTTGTTTATTTAGCCCGTTACTGGTTCAAATGTTTCTTCATTTTAAGCTGGCAGCAGCACATTATTACATGAAACTTATTTTTCTAAAGCACACTGAAACAAAAAGTGAACATTTTAAATTATATCTGAACTAATTTTATGACTGAATTCAGTGTTTATACACGCCAAGAAGTTATTTCGTACAAGCGTGTAGGTGTAGGTGAATCATTGAATATTATGAAAACAGTGTTTTCCGAGATAACACGTCAGTGATTTATAATGATTTATTTTTTATGCATAAATTAACAGATTGAAATCTCAAATAAGATTTGGTGTAACTTCTTACACTGGTGTTCCATTTTTTTATTCCTTCACGTTCCCAGTAGAACATAGGCTTCAAGGTAAAGGCTTGAAGTTTCTGTAGCAGTGTTTACTTTTACGGAATGGGGTTGCTAGCCTCATGCCCAGCCTTTCCTCTAAACCAGCTTTACTACTGAGTTAGCGAGGTAAAGGAGTGCGTCGGTGGCCGGGGATCGAACCCAGTACCATGTGCATGGTCGGCGAACGTCCTAACCGCTGTGCCACCGACGCGTAAGTGTTCCATTATGATGCTTAAAATAAGGTGTCGAAACGTTACTTCATTTATCTTACTAAACATATAACGCCTAATTGATACATTTTTCAGGATTTCATCATGAGCTGGCATTGGTTAGAGAACCATTGGAAAACCTCCAGGAAGTACTGGACAGCTGTTTCCTCCGTCCTAGTTTGGGACTCTTTAACAGTACTTACCCGCCGGGATTCGAACCCAGGACCTTCCGGTTACAAGGCGAGCTCGTATACCATTAGGCCACTGGGACCCGATCCAATGGTCCTTGAATTCTAACTTCTGCCAATTCACGACATAGCGCGACCGCTAGCCAATGTCTTCGGCGAGTATTTGTCCTCACACCCGACCTGCTGTACCCTACTGGTCACGAACCAACACTTGATACATTTTTATTGACACATTTAATACTAGAGAGCTACACTGATAGCCATCAAATAATCAGTAAGCATGAACAACCCAGTAAACCAGGAGATTGATCGTGACACAAATAGCTCCTATACAAAGTTTTTACCTCTTCCAATGAGTGAAAACTTTGAATCACTTAGGAGTCATGAAGTTTTCTACTATATATACACGCTTTGTTAATGGTTATAATTTACTAAGAAGCCTTAATTCAGGCACACGCAGCTTTGTTCCGTCCTCAGAATTATGAGTGTCTGTTTTTTCCCCTAAAAAAAATCATGTTTTGTTTTATAGACCGATGTATTTAACAGTCAACTCACAGGTTTCATAGAAAAATATAAGGTTGAGTGCTTTTGAAGCGCTAACCGATCGATGATAATTACTCAGCGTCTCCAGCTGTGGATCCAGAATCTCTGGTTTTTATTATTACCTAGTTATAATATCCCAAAAGGATTCTACGGAATATTCCTTAAATATATGCTTAAGTTTGGATAGCATTATTAGAAGACGGAGGTTATCTGAAAAATGTGATGTATTTGCGCTATACATTTCGAACATTCTGATCATACATTTACTTGTCAAGTCGATATATATGAAAAATTTGAGGGCAATTAAATTAAACCAAGTGAAAAAAAGATTTAAGAATGATCAACACAACGTTTTGTAATCCAGTGAAATAAGGATTATCAAGTCAGGTTAAGAGTAATAACAAACTGTTTTCAAATACACACGGGGGGGGTGCTTAAGTTTATGAATAGCTGTAGCCTCTGCGTATTTCAATAAGCGCCCTTGGTCGTTTTTATTGACGACCTTAAAAGCTGAGTTAACACCAGTCTTATGGTTCATCTCGATTAGATGTTTAGCAATAGACGAAGGTGGTAGTCTGACACCTGCATCTGTTGGTTTTTCACAATTCATTTGTTTTTCTAACCATTTCGCGATATACTCGCCCACCTTCACATGCAAAGCACAATTACTCCTCCCTATGTATGTGTTTCTACACACACACACACACACACACAAATTGGTAAATAGTGTGGCAAGTGACATAATCATTCTTAAATCATTTTTCACTTTGTTGAATTTAACTGCCCTTAAGGTTTTCATATATATCGACTTGACAAGTAAATATGTGATCAGAATGATCGAAATGCATAGCGCAAATACATCACACTTTTCAGATAATCTCCGTCTTCTAATGATGCTATGCAAATTTATAAAAGGGACTAATTGTTTTAAATATGCTTAAGTATTAATTACCGGCCTAAGTTTAAAGGATTACTTAAATTTCAGATTGATGTCAACAAGAGAAGAACTCATGTGAGAAGAAAACTGCCTCTTATGATTCAACTTCTGAGTTAAAGAAATCTCCTATAACATCTTAAATACGAATAAATTTTGCTAAAATGTTAACTCAAAGTAACTGAAAACTCTCAAGACTTACTTCAAATACATAATCTCCAAAGAATTCAGGTCTACAGTCGTTAACATCTTCTATCTTAATTATAACAGTAGCTGTTGATGACAGACGATTCGTTTTTGCATTATCACTCACAACAATATACAATTCATACCGATCCACTTTCTCTCTGTCAACTTCATCTATTAATTGAATTTCACCATTTGCAGCTAGATTAAATACACGATGTGATCTAATATCCTTCCTCTGACCCTCATTGTCACTATTATTATCATCAATATTTTGATATTCCGTTTTTGTCATATTATCAATTTCATTAGGTGACAATAGCATTTTGTTTCCAAAATATGGAATTTGACTTTTCAGTTCAAAATTCAATCTACCATTTTCCCCAGCATCTAAATCAATCGCTTGAACACTACCAATAATTGTACCACGTAAAGAGTTTTCTGGTAGAACAAATTGATAAGTATACGATTGGTCAATTCTTTGTGGATTTGATGATAAATATGATTGATAAAATAATTTTCTATGACTATCTGTATTCAGTAGAGATAAATGAGGGGATTGAGATTGTTGAGAATTCAAAAATATCGGTGGATTATCATTTACATCAAGAATATTTATTGTTATCAGACGATGTGATGTAAGCATAGGTGATCCTTTATCTGAACACTGTAATAATACATTATAGTAGGGTGTTGCTTCACGATCAAACGATGATGAATTCTTTGTTTCTAATCGATAGACAACCCATCTACCTTGACGTGATAAACCATCGTTATTATCAGCTGTTTCACTCTGTTGTCTATGGAATAAAAATCTGCTATTTAAATTCATGCCGTTTGAATTTCGTGGTTCAGATAACTTTGGTCCAGACATAACTTCAACTAGAGATAAATACGCAGTATCATTTAGACTGCACTGGAACTCTGAATTCGGTGATGTAGTCAAGTCTAAATCTCGTACAGTTATCAGACTAACCAACTGTTGATTTCCGATGGCATTTTCTACAACTGAGAATTCAGTGTTCCTCATCTGTAAAATAAATAAAGTAAATAGGTAAATAGATGCATCGTCTAACAATTAAACAAGTACATTTTCCATTATGGTAATTAACAATTAAGACGTGTAACTTCAAAATGGTCCTCAAACACCGAAAGAATATTTTTTCTTCCATATTTGACACCAGCTCAGATTTAAGAATCCCACTCTTGTCATCAAGGCTGACAGCATTTCGCGTTGATGATTTGCAGATCCAGACTGATTAATCCATCATGTTATGTAACCTTCCCGAGCAAATATTTGAATAATAACTACGATGAAACCTACATAATCTATATTTTGATTGTTAATAGAAGAATACACGGTAATTGTTTGGGGAATCCTGAATCTTGAACTTATTTGGTTACTTTAACTAATTTTGTAATTTTTATCCTTATTTATCCTAGACTGCATATTATCGCTCTAACGTTTGAGTATCATATGTTGACTTGTTTCTTATTATTTCTTATTTTCCCTGTTCTAATTCTAAATTAACTGCTGCTCTTTATTGTTATGTGGCGATATTAATAATATACTGTTTCACGATCGCGACTTTGTCTGATTCAGTCAACGTCACTATGAACTTGGACTGCCTGTGGGAACTATTGGTGTGTGATTCATATGGTCAGAGTTCTGATCTCACATTGGTAGGAGCATACTACTTGATCCTAAGGTATTTCTTACAGTCTCTTTTTTGGTGAATTATTTTTTTTTCTATAGCACACGGTTTATAATCAGAAGGATACCCTGGCTGTATGGCTACTTTACAGCACCACTGAGATAATTTCGCGTTTTCGATGCTATCATTGTTGAGTAGAACCGCATAAATATTACGATAAATAACTGTCGTTTTACAGTCTTTGAAGCGTTTTGTTACTGTATATGTCTCAAGGAAGTTTCAGCCAGCAACACAGTAGTACACAGGGATCGTCTTCTCGCTGTCAGACTACAAGGACTCGGTTTCTGTCGCCACAGACACAGATACCGAAACAGATAATTTCCACTTTTCTTTTGGCAGATTGGTCAGAACTTTCTCAGGAAAGTGGTCAGAGTCGCTCCTCACTATTTGCAAAATTACTTCACTCTTTTTGTAGAAACTTGGTATTCCATAGTTAATTCAGTTTACCAGCATCATTCAAATACTACAAGTCCAATAGTAATCATACAGGATTAAAAAGTACTGTCTAACAAATGACACTGAAATCATAGTTAATAGTCAGTAAAAGTAATTACATTCACATCAGAAAATGAAGATCAGAAATGAGACCTAAATTATCTCAGTAATTTCAACAGTAAAAAAGTATAAGAAATCCGGTCATTATTTCTCCAGTGAGGAGGAAAGATATGACTTTTTATTACTTTTTGACCAACAAAAAAGGAGGCACCATAGGTTCAAAAGTCAGCAGCACTCCTCCCCGCCAAGGTTTTGATCTCACCTTGTTAGGAATATTTCCCATGATTCTCAGGTGCTTTATACAGTTGATTTGGTTGACAAATTTTGTTCTCCAGTACTTATTTTGTACTAGAAAATTTTCTGATCTGTATAGCTGCCTAACATCATTGTTGAGGTAATTTTGAGTTTCGACATGTTATTATTATTATAATACATCAAATTTTACTTTAAATAATTGTCCAATCACTGTTGTTAGGGCACTTAGTCATTGTGTATAATTCAAGGAATTTCTGATTAGCTATATAGTAAAATAAAAAGATTGGTTTCCTGCTTTCAGACCGCAACAAGTAAGTTTTGATCCTTACAACATTCAGATAACTACTGCTTACTCGAATGAAAAACTTACACCTGGTTTCATAGTTAATCAACACAACGGGTACAACCAAATTATAGTGTTCAGTTTGTTTTTCAAAAATTGTTACAACTATAATAAATCTTTTATTTTATTCTCTTCAAGTTTATACAGGCTTGAAAAGTTAAAATGCAATGTGTAAAGAGTTATTTGAGAAAAGTTTATTCATTCAATAAATGAACCGTTTTGATTTTTTATCTTGTAAAGGTATCTCTTATTGCATGTACAATTCCCAGTTGACACCTATTCAAGAGAAAAATTAACAATTGTTTCTCACCATTTCTTTTCAAAGCATATCTCACAGTTGTAATCTGTTTTTTTGAAGATGCAGAACAAACACTTCTGAATATATCCTCTCTGTTTTCTCATGACTTCGACATTAGTACAGTAGAAAAATGATTAATAATTATACATATATATCTATATATATCATTTTAATTTTAAGCGTGATTAATGCTTTCCCGAAATAATAATGAATACTCGAAAGTTGTTACATGGTAAGTGTAAGACAAATGATTCCATATGAATGACTGGGATCTTCCCCTAATAAATTTGATGAATTGGTTACGCTAAAACACAGTTCGAATATGACTACTGAATGGTTAAATCTGTGTTTTTATTTATAAGGATAATGTATCCATTTCTATGGGAACTAAGTAGATAAATTAGACAGTGCTAATTTATAATTTTTGCATGAATGCGCTGTCGATATATTCAGACATTCTACCAGTAAACATAAGATACACTGAGAAAACTGTTGGTGAAGTTAATACAGTCAGTAAAGTGTGAATGATGCGAATAAAAATCAATATACATTAAAAACAAAGTTTAGTATTTCGTCATTGCCTAGATTAATAGAAAATCCAATTCTTTCATCAACTCAAGAAGGACAAAATACACTAGTTCATCTCAGTTGTCTTAAAGCTGGTTACAGTATAGATAACACTCCCTAATGTTAAATTAGGATGACTTTGAATGAAGTCACTGGAACAAAACATTTCAGTTATTCCTTTTGGATACATAGCGTGAGTTTGAGCTTTTGCATGGCTAGTGCCTCTGCTATGTCCAGATGTCTCAATTATACTCCTTTTGATAGGTTTGATTGAATCTTGTATATTATTTTGAAGGACTTTCGGAATGGCGTTGAATTTCCTAAATTGACCAGATGTTCTGTCACTGAACTATATACAAGTTTTTGGTCTCCTTTTACTAGCCAGACTGGAGAGTGTTCACAAGCGGGTTTTTGAAGTTGGCTCATGGTACAGCCTATGTACTCAGCTCTGTACGAGCGATTAGACTGTTATATGCACGTTGAAGTAGCCCAATGCGAGAGCTTGTCTTTCGCGTTCTGGCTGAGCATTTTCTTGCAGGAAACCGTCAGTTGTAGGCTCGCGGTGAAGTATATTTTCCTCAGAGGTTTGGAGAGTAATTTACGAAGGATTTCTGCTTCAATGTCACCTTTGACTTCTAGATTTAGTAGAAGTATCTTCTTTCTTCAGTTATTACAAGCTGACTTTTTTAACATGTGACTAAGAGGAATTACTTCAATATTTGTCCGACTGATGTATTAGAAGGTGTCGTCTTTAATTAATCAAGAAACAAACTATGAAAAAAAGGATACAGTATTGATCAGATTGATTAAACAAAAAATAATCTGATCAGAATGTTATTTTGCTGCTTTTGACCCTAATTTGATAGACGTTTACAAAATCACAATAATCTCGGAAAGGCTTATTGTGTAAGTCACCCTGAAGATTATATAGTATCTTAATAGACCATTTATCTGTGTTGGGACTGACACTTTTATTCCCTGGGTAGGTAAGAAATATCACTATTGAGTTAAAGGAAAGAATAAAACTTGTGTACAAAATACACTAATGACTGATAACAACTCAAATGGTAGTTTTTAAACTACCATAAAATAAAATCTATATTTCTTAAGTTGCTTTAGAGGAGTGTATTTTCCTATCTACATTGATAGCTAATGGTTTTCGAAAATTTCGCTATGTGTTGAGAATCCCAAGTTAATTTTTCAATTAATAAAAACTCTTTTGACAGTGATTTAATGAACGAAATCCTTATTCAATATTAGTTTTCCTATTTTAAAATGAAGAAATTATATTTGTCAACTCCTAATGAGTTTTCATGTGTGAATATAAATAGAAATAAATATAATCCAGAAACAGTGTGAAGGTTATTGCGTTGCCTTCAAAAAGTTCTATCATCTTTCTACATACTCAGAAGACTTTATTATTGTTTACCACTATCCCCTATTACTCAATAAGCGCCATAACTTTCGAATTTAATGCTAACAAATTTCGCTTATTAAAAACATGGTTACTTCTTTATGCGGTAGATTCCTTATTTTACTTCACAGTGTATGCACAATGCAAAACATAATTAAATCATCGAGGCATAGTGGTATCAGTTTTTTGATGGTGGAATGCTCTGAAACCAACAACGCGGTTTGGGGTATTCTAGAGTTCTTTTAGTTAGTCGTCCACGTATACAGTCTTCTATAGTTGCTTCTAATTCTACCTACCCGATGAGATGCAGGAAGGATACAGTTGTGTATGGAGAGGATGTTCAGAATCCGACAGCATAATATTTGCTAATTTCTCGCGGGAATCCAAGCGTCTATTCACAATAGTATTAATGAGTTGGTTTAGCAACACTTCTCCCGCTCTATTGACGGCTTTTAACGCCCTACGCAGTATAACAAAGTTTTCCTTAAATAGCCTAAGAAGGATTAAAGTGGAGAAGTAAAGAAGCATAGGCAGAATTCAAAAATTAACATACTCAGAAATCAGAAACGGAACGAAACCAGATCGTCTTAACTCTCTTACATAGAACGTCAAACGATATATCTTTCTGGAAACTAACATGATGTGGGAAGACCAGGAAAGATGAGAAGAAATACACAGTCTAAGGTATTTAACATTCTATTTGGTTTCAACTTCAGTGCCATCTATGATAGTGGAACTGTGCAAACTAACCAGTTTACGTAAGTCGGTCTTGCATCTGAAAATGAAATTATTTATCCAGATATTTGGAGGAATTTAGTTTAAGAGCATTCGACAAGGACCACTGATTAATTTGTAATACAAAGTTATCCACTTTGGAGCAATCTGACTGAAAAGTAACAGACATTAAAACAGCCAGATCGTCAGCGTACTCAACAAAATTGGCTCCGTCAAAATAGGATAAGTCATGTAAGAAGAAAGGAAACAGAAAAGGAGAAAGAATGGCTCTCTGAGGGACACCAACTAGAGTAATTAAAGCAGTGTACTGCTTCTTATCAAAAAAGTAAGAATGAAACCACTTACTAGTCCAGCACTCTGCTTGTGTCACAGCAAGCTTGTTTAACAGAAGAGCCTTATGTGGAGTCGAGGCAGATGAGTAATCTAGGAAGGCACACCAAACATATTTGGCTCCTCTGTCTAAACTAGAATCACCACTACTACATAAGACAACAGTGGTATCTAAAGTACACTCATTATATTTATAAGCAATTATTGATATAAATAAAAAACTTGGGCACTATGGTAGAGTATAACTCCATTATGGATAAGATTTTATTTTGATATATCACACAGTGTTGTACAGTTATATTAACTGATAATCAGTTAAAAGCCTTCGTTAAAGGTTCAAGGCTGATTAAAAGCAGTCTTTCCATTATTTAAAAAAACTATGAAGTAATGACAATATGTGTAAACTTAACACTTGATGATTTGGGTACAAGAATAATTTTAATGTCTTTCCAAGAACCAGTCACAATGTTAGGGGAAAACCTATATTGATTATTTCATGATATTCTATTTACTCTGTTCTACTTTCTTTTTGCGCAAACCATCCACAAAACACAACACGAATGCAGCCATATAATAAGTTATCACTGTCATCAACTTCGTACACTTTCGTAACTGAATTCAGCTCACAACATTTGGCATGAAGCTATCGTCTATCCTCTTACTATAGACTTTGAAACTCAGTTGATGTCAAGTCTGTAACCAAATCTTACGTAAGAAACGTATTGGTTATTTTCAAGTACTGGTTTGTAGGGATTTGATTGATTGGTTGCAGGATTTCATCATGAGCTGACATCGGTTACAGAACCATTGGAATACCTGCAGGGAGTACTGGACAGCTGTTTCGTCTTAGTTTGGGACTCTTCACAGTACCCACTCACCCGACTTCTCCAACCGATGTCAGCTCATGATGAAATCCTGTAACCAGTCATTCATATCCCTACAAACCAATAATGAAAATCGATGAGATGTTCACCAGCGACTGGCCTATTCAGGCAGGCAGTTACTTGGAGTTCTAGTGGGAAGTAGTGACCAGTAGGGTACAGCAGGTCGAGTGTGGGAACAAATACTGAACGAATACATTGTCTAGCTGTCGCTCTATGTCGTGAATTAGCAGAAGTTGGAATTCATATGCTAGCCATTGGATCGGGTCCCAGCGGCTTAATGGTCTACGAGCTAGCTCGCCTTGTGACTGGAAGGCTGTGGCTTCGAACCCTGGCGGTTGTTGCGTATTGATGAAGAGTCCCAAACTAGTGCAAAACAGCTTTCCAGTGTTCCCGGGTTTTTCAGTGGTTCTCTAGCCCACATCAGCTCATAATGAAGTCTTGTATTCGTTATTGTTAAAATGAAAACAGATCTTCTCTCACAACAGCAAAAATCTGAAGGAAATTTTCACTAACGAATAGTCATGGTTTAGACAAACCTTTCACAATAATAAATATTTAAATTATTTCTTCTACTGCTGAACACCGTGTGATACAAAGAATTACATGAATAAATAGTAAAGTATGGAAATATACTTAAAATTATACACAAAGTTTGTGATATCAGTATATCAATGGTGAAAACACGATAACTCTGGATGCAACTTCATTGTTTATAAATGTTACCTTGACAGTAAGGTTTGATTTCTTATGTGAACAGCTGAATGAAAAGTAATATGTATTCGAATTCCTGCTAAACTTTACCATGATTACAAATTTCATATTTCAAACAGATCCTCACAAACATATAAGCATAACACTATGGATTTTCTTATCGTCGTTTTAATATACAGAATTGATTTTCACTAAACTAGAAAATACTCCGTTGAACGAGTTCTTGAGAAAATTCACATAATGACTTTGTACAGCATGGGAACAAACTAAACAGATGAAAAAGATCACTGAGTGCAACTGGCACTTAAATTTCAAAGGTGAAATAGACTTTCTAGATGTTTCCTTGTCAGGCAAAACAGATGGATACAATTAAGAAAGACTATTTTCAAAAAAACACGCTTTCTCATTTTTGTCCGTATTCAGTACATACAAAAACTCGATGAGAATCTTCAGCTATGATTTCAAGAATAAGTTTGAATATTATGTGAAAATGCTATTGCGATACCTTCATAGGAAAACACAATACTACTGAAGTACAAAAGTAATACGTTTCAGTTGTAAAAAAAGGGCCTTTTTACAACCATACAATTCAGAGAATTTTTATTCAATGAGGTACTAATCCAAAGATTTCAAGATTTTAGAGTTCCTAGAAATTGCAACAATTATGTCTACTAGGTTCAACTTTGATATCCAGAACAGATGATAGATTATTGAGGCATGATGTTTCCTTTTATGTTGGTTAATTCAGATATTTCGGGAGTCATTAACGATAACTGTAGTCATAATATAAAATTTTTCCACATAAAAGAATGATTTAACGATGGAAGAGTTTTATGACTTAATTCTATCCCCAGAGTAAGAAAAACAAGGACGATATGAAATGTGCACGTCATATTTTAAGGCCCCTCTTCAACTGAAGACAGACTGAAACATGCACTTTTTCCACTTCGCCCGCTCCAAGTGGAACACATTAACGGTGGTGTTGTTTGTAAAGGGATGAAATTTCTGGTCTCACAATCAAACGTTCCACTCTTTTGAGTCTACTAACGGCTGGCAAGCTACCGCGAGGTTTAAGAGTAAATCATCTGTGAAACAAACCCGGACTTCCTATTTGCCTGACAAGCATTCTACCACTGAACTACTGACGTATGAAATCTATGCAGAACCAATGAAATAACAGCATACAACTTTTCTACCCAGAAATCAGTTATGAATATCGCGGGTTTATGAAGAAGAAGTGTAAAAAATGTGATGCCATTCTCATGGCAAGTGATACAAAAAGAATCAAGTTCCCTTCTTGTTCATAATGATAAATGAACTCCGAAGAAGAAAAGAAACCCTGCTTTACTTCAGTTTGCTAAATCTTTTGTTATCGAAGGACTCAGATCAGCTGGTGTATACTGATAGAAACTATGATTATTGTCATTTTATACTAGTAACAATTACCCCACTTATTACATAATTATGTATTATTTTTTTCACTACTACTAATACCATTACTATTGGTACTGTTATCATCCTTTTGATTCACTGATCTCAACCCACTTAAATGACTTCATATGACCTCCAAATGCTTTGTCATATGTGATTAAGCAATCTTTCTCCTGTATTTTAGCAGTTAACGACGTTTTCTTCTTAAGCCATATGCCTAAAACTCTCAAATCCTCTTCCAGAAGTCTGATAATTAACAGTTTTCATCTCAGTGCAGTTGTAATGATTGTGTTACGACATTTCAGTCGCTATTGTTTTCTAAATTTCCGCCCAATAGAATATAAAATATATGCTCTTATTTCATTAATCCTACGTATATTATAGGCTGTTTGAGGCTGTGAAGTTTTGAAGTAAAATGAAAACTTTACTAGTTACAGGATTTCAACATGAGCTGACATCAGTTAGAGAACCATTGGAAAACCTCCAGGAAGTACTGGACAGCTGTTTCGTCCTAGTTTAGGACTCTTCATCGATACGCACCCACCGGGATTCGAACCCAGGACCCTCTGGTTACAAGACGAGCCAGTATATCATGAAGCCACTGGGACCCGATCCAATGGCCAACCCATGAATTCTAACTTCTGCCGATACACGATATGGCGCAACCGCTAGCCAATGTCTTCGGCGAGTATTTGTTCTCACACCCGACCTGCTGCACTCTGCTGGTCACGATTTCCCACTGGAACCCAGGTAACTACCTACCTGAACTGATATCAGCTCATGATGTAATCCTGTAACCAACCAACCAAATCCCTAGAAACCAATACTTGAACATTTTACTAAGCAAATTATTTTATTCTTACTTTGTCGAAGACATTCAAAGGAACAAATTGTTTGAGTCTAAACAGATCATAGACGAATTATTGGCATCATCTGTTGCATGTGAAATTACCAAAATTATTCAAAGCCCAGAAATTACAGTAATTGAATAGCCACGACTGAATATGCAGATAAAACAAGTGAAACTACAGCTACTTCTTTGGCGTGCTCTTAATTCAAAAACACTCTGTTTGACGTAAACACTATCATTCATTTCCACATATGTTTCTCAACAGTTAATAAGCATTAATACATCAAATTACTGCTACAGAAATTACCTAACAGCTTATTTGCCTATCTAATTGTTATACTAATAGTTAAGCCATTTATTTTCTCATTATATGCTTTCCGTTGTTATTAGATGGTTGGGTGCAATCGGAATGTAGTCTGCGACCTAAACGTAGTGCACTCATCAATAGGGCTTATTTGCAGCTTTGAAGGAAGTCATACCCCTCCTGATATTCGAATCCGTGTCACCCAGCGCTGCGGTGGGAGATTTCACCACTGAACTGTTTGGGTTATTTGTTGACCTAGTGACTAGTGTCACGTATCTAGTCATCTGTTCGGTGCAGACTAAACTGTGTCAGTCAAGTTTGCAATGTGTTAAGTGGCTTGCCTACACGGCTGACTCTGAATTGTGGATATCAGATGTCTGTCTGGAAGTGGAGGGAATTCTTGGACCCGGATATACGAAACTAGTTAATAACTACTGTCCAGTCAGGGTGATTTAAGTTGTGATGGTTATCTTCAGGTCCTAAACGTCGTATGTGGCATTCTCATAAATGAACATCAATCATAATTCTGAATTACTTCACAACAACTTAAACTGCGTAACACAAGATGCTTGCCAGACACTGAGGTCAATAAGATAGTTTTACCAATGAAAGAAGGTGACACTGTAATAAAATATTTTTTAGAGTCAGTGTTATCATATAAAGGAAAGAAAATTACTCACAATGATCATTGGTTTGTGGTCATTACAGTCTTGCACTAGAAGATGAATCCATGCATCACTGCTTCTACCAGCACCATCAGTTGCTGTTACAATTAATGTTAAATTTGCTTGATTTAAGTCTTTTAATCCTAAATCAGTTAGGTAGATATATTCTCCTGAAATAAATAGTCGTTGTCTTAGTTGTTCAAAGTTTTGTGTCTGATCACTGAGATGATATGATACTCGACCGAATTCACTGTCTGCCTCATCCATATCATTTGCATTCAGACGTAACAATTGTCTTTGATTAATACACTCGGGAACTTGAAAAGAATATTTAACAATCATTCTACCTTGTCCAGTTTCTTCCAGCATCTCTTTTGGTTTTGAAGTGATCCTCTCTGATCCTATGAACAATAGGCTGCTAGATGATAATCCTGTCTCAAGTTTATCTGGCCACAGGGAGCATGATCATTGATATCTCGAATTACTATTCGTAAAACTGTTTCCCCCTTTCTTCCACCGGAATCAATAGCAACAAGTTTTATTGCATAACGTGATGCCTGTTCTCTGTCAAGCCTACCAATTACTCTTAAACATGGTACTAAAGGAAGTGAATCCTTGTTTATTTGTTGATTAGAATTATACGTATAATTTAATGCATATACTTCATTTGCTGTCATCTCTTCACATTGAATTCTTAGCCCTCTAAACTGTGCGATTTCAAATAATTGCATTACTTCGCCTGGTGTAGAAACTGGATGAAGTTCATACCTTACAATACCATGTTCAGTTGAGTCTATATCATTAGCTATTGGTAATGAGACCATTGTTCCAATAGGACATTCTTCTTCAATGGTTATAATCCTTGGATGATTTTCAATTCCAGGCACTTGTGGAAAATATGGTGAATTATCGTTTATATCCAGTAGAGTTATAATTAATTCAATACATATTAATTCCTTTTTATGTTTGTTATCGTTCACATTCATAGGAGATTCCTTTTCATTCGAAGTATGCATTTCACTTTGGTCCATAGCTTCATTATTTATTTTATAAGCTGCTATGAGAATAGTGATCTTACACTGTTTATTAGTATTCTGTAAATCATTACAAATATATTCTCGATCTAACGGTACACCAAATTTCAGAATTCCTTTAATTGGATGTAAATCAATAAGATTAAGTAAATTGTTCTGATTTCTTTGTTTATATGCAGTCAGTAGATTAGCGCTAATATCAAGTATTTCAAAATTCATAACTTTTGAACTACTACTACGTTTTTCTGCTTCATCAATCGACGTCTCTAATAGAATACCATGATTATGCATAATTTGACTTAGATTTATTAAATCTGATTTGATAACTGATGATTCTGATATACTTAACAGAATTTGATAAGGTTGTGTTAAATTAGCCTGTTCACTGAATTTATCATCACTGGTTTCAAATATTTCTGGATACAAATGTCTGTTAGAACATGACGGTATTATCAGGACAGCAAATATAAGGAAACAGATATTCTGTTGTTGTAGCTGTTGTCTTCTCCGCATTCTAATATTCAAGACATTTTATAGCTTTCTTGAAGATTCATTGAAACACTGAAATAATCAGAAGAAATAAAAAACAATAATGATAAATGTTTTACAAAATTAACAAATTTGAAGCAAGCGCGATAGTCAATTTAAGTTTATTCACTAAAAGAAGAAAGTTGTCTGTAGGAAATAATCAAGCGTAAATCCTACTCTCTTTTTTTGACAAAATTGTTAATTAGCATTCTATTCTTCTATTAGATAATATTTTACAACCCAAAGTTGAATGACACCATAAGTAAAAAACTAATTTAGCTGTCTTGCAGTTATCATCAATCGCCTTGCATTTAAATGGCATCAACTTTTTATGATGTCATTTATTCGTGTATATGATGCCAGCATGCTATAATATTTTCAGAAGTAGTTTTCAGACTTCTCTTCTGAAGTCATGAATTATGAATGAAAGTTGTCAAAGGCATTTTGTTCAGGCACGAATGAAGTACATAAGGAAGATTTTGTTGTATTCAACTCTAATGAAACTTCTATTTTTAGATAAATGCTTTCTGAATTTAGTTAGCATTTCGATGCTTATTTCCTGAAGCTATTGAATATAATGTTCAAAATTGATGCAATTTAATTGCATGGGGGATTTCACCATGAAATGTCGTCAGTTAGAGAACCACTGGAAAACCTGGGAGTACTAGACAGCTGTTTCGTCCTAGTTTAGGACTCTTCGAACCCAAGACATTCTGGTTACAAGGCAAGCTCGTAGACCACTGAGCCACTGGGACCCAATCCAATGGTCCTTGAATCCTAACTTCTGCCAATTCATGACATAACGCGACCACTTCGAAATGTCTTCTTCGATGAGTTACTGCCTAATCTTCGACCTGCTGTACCCTATTGGTCATAGCTACCCACTAGAACCCCAAGTAAACTGCCTGATTACTTGATGCAGTTTAGTTTGGTGCTAGTGCAACAACTCTCTCTCTGATGCAAGTTTTATCACTATGCAGTTTAACCTCTTTACTTTTCCATTAGAAAGTGTGATTTGATAAAAAAGTTATCATTGTGATACATATGAGCGACAAATACCTCTAAGTCTTTTTATTTCCTATGAAGCAGAATGATTGAAAATAGAATGATCAACCGAAAAATTTATGACTGAACTAATGAAAATAGAAACTGATCTCTATGGTATCGTACAGTATAGTTTTAGGTAAAAACCACGAGACAAAAATACATAACTAACGTTGAACCTCACAATGATTTTAGACTTCATGAATTCTCATTAAGAACTTATTACCACTAATAGTTAGAAATGCTTCTTGAAATAAAGTCTAGACTGACGTTGAAAATTTCGCAGAAATAATGAAAAATTCGGAAAGTAATACGTATATCAAGGATTTGTACAACTGATGGTGTGAATATTGTTCACTAAAGTTTAAAACAATACAATAACGATTCAATAAATAAATTTTAACATTTGAGATTATCACTTCTTACTGGAAATATCATCACAGTGTATATAAGTAAGTCGGACTGATTCTTGTGCGTTAGTCGTACAGTGGTAGAATACTCGCCAAACACGTTTATAGTTCAAGGCTTCATCCCTGGATGACTCAATTCCAAACCTCATTAAGCCGGTAATAAAACCAGTTAAGAGGGAAGGATGCTTCCGAAACTTCAAAGCTCTAGCTTGAAGCACTGTGTGCTGCTAGAAACGAAAAGGAATGAAATAAATAAGTCAAAGGATTGATTCTACCTTGATGAGTGAAAGCGTACGTACAAACTTCATGACTGTCTAACGGGTAGTGATACTAAACATTGACCTGACGACTTATAAAATTTATTTAATGTACACCATTTTCCCATATAAGTCATTACATATCACATTTTTTAAGTCATTTAGATGAACTGAATCAACTGTGTTTGATCCCAACTCATTCTAAAGTAGATTCTTGATGAAAAATGACTTGTTAATGTATAATATAAAACCAAATGTTCAAAAGTTATAGTAAAGTTTCGTTCGCTTAATTTATCTCCACCTATGCTAAGAAAAAGGGGTACCTAATCTGTCATATACTCTGATGGTGTTCTCGTGACTTTTGTTGCCAGATCCGCCAAAGACGATGTTATAGTATGCGATCTGATGCTTTTGTGCAAGGTTTAAAGAAGGCTGTGTGCTATATCCATGCGCCTTGCCCTGATAATGTCTTGCCTTGGTGGCACAACAGTAGAATGCTCACCGACCACGCATGTGGTCCGGAGTCCAATCCTCGCTCGACTCACTCCTTCACCTCACCTCGCTGAACCAGTAATAAGACTGATGAAGACGGAAGGTTGGGCATAGGGTTAGCAACCCCATGCTGTAAAAATAAACACCTGTGAAACAGAAACTTCAAGCCACTATGAAGCCCTATGTTCCACTGGTAAAGTGTAGGAATAAAAAATGCAAGGAAAAAAAAAATTACAAGGTCATGAAAATTGCTTTTCTTCAAAAATTCTAGGATTATTGTTGATATTTTAACATTTACTTCCGGAATATTCCCTCGATAATACTGGGAAAATATTTAATTTGAGCAAATAACTACTATCAAGGTCAGCATATATGTAGATTTGAATTTCTAGTAAAATACTTTGGTCATTGAGAATACTGACAGACAGTAAATCAACATACATTTGTCAAGAAAGGGACTATATACCATCTTCTTTGTAAGAACGGATAATTAGATGAAGATAAAGGAGAATAATACTAATGACAATCAAGACGTTGAAGTGTATCACTACTCATACGATTGTTTCACATGTCTGAAATGCAAATAAAACATTTGATGACTGTTTCTATAGATATTTTCTACAGACAAAGTGATGCAGTTCCTTGTAATAAGAACGACGTGACATGAAACAGTCACCGACACTAGGTGCTTCTAAATATCAATATCTTTCCTGGATATAAGTTATGACAGAGGGGGTTAGGCACTGTTTAAACAGTTGTGAATGCAGAAAATAAAAGGAGTACCTCTATTCAGAATAAATATACAGTGGTGGATACGATTTTGAAAATTGGGACGACTTTTAAAATGGAAATTAGACAACTATTTAGGTGTCATCATATTGAAGCAAAAATCTCAGTGTTGCCTTTCTGGTTGAATTTTTGCACGAACAGCTTCAATCACTCATGTAAATTGTGTAATGCCCGAAGTCCCAGGATTTTGAGACGAGTGCAGCTAGAAAAACTCATACAAGACTTAATGAAAATGTTCTCGCGGTTCATATCACTACATCTCTTCCAGACAGGTCTGAAATGATACTCTTTTACCGGTTGCTTATATAACTTCAGATTGACTCCCATATTTACCTTCAGGCATTTCTTTCAAACAATCAAAGCAGTTGCCATAAGAAACCGTAAATAGTTATATCAGAAACCTTTATTCAAACTTTACTCCAAATTATCTTGTTTTCATTTCACAAATCCATGTATGTATAGACTATTTTGTCTCTGTTGATTTAGGTTCTTATACCACCCAAGTCACATACTTATAACGTGATGTGAAGTCAATATCGAATCTGGTATTCGTAGGCACACAGATTAGTCGCCCAGAGATACTTTGTTTATATGATGTATTAAATTATAATTTCAATTGGTTGTTGGGTTCAACTTAACCCTACTTACAAGGAGATTCATATCCCCACAAATCTTTACGTATCATTTTCTCATATTTTCAAACGTGGAAGAATTTTCAGTTTAGCTATACTATGATACATGTAGGATAATAAACATCTAACATACTGAAAATAGTCGAGAAATTATATGGACGTAATCACTTAACTCATAGGTTCCCTGACCTGTTATTTTATTTCTCATGAAGACATTTCGATTCCACTTATCTTCTCTACAACTCTTATTTGGTGTGAATTTGACCGGTTTCAAGTTTGTTCACAGATTGATATCAGTCAGAGAACTACTTAAAACCAGAGAGAACAAGACATTTGTGTCGTCCCGGTTTGGTACTCTTCAATAGTACTCACCTATCACCCCAACTAGGATCGAACCAAAAACTCTCAGGTTACAAAGGAAGCCCATTGGCAGTTCAGCCACTGGAATGGAGTCCAACGGCTCATGAACTCTAAATTCTATGAATTCGCGATTTTCAGCACCACAGATATCTAGTATCATCAAGTCCTCACACCTGAGGTGGTAGACTTCACTGCAGTGATTATGATTTTACATTAGAAAAGCAGGTAAAACTACTTCCTGTAGGTAGTGACTACTAAGCATCAGGCTAAGTGTTACTTTGTAGAAATTTGGGTGGTTTGAAGTCTGATCTTCATTTTGTTGAGAATTGAAGATCTTATCTATCTGTCTCACCTTTTGCTTATTTTTACTAATACTGAGGACAACGAGACTGGTAAGGACAGATTTCTATTCTTCATCATGACGAAATTCAATAGACATTGAAAAAAATAAGCACTGAGTCAACTACGCTTACTACAAAAGAATATCAACCATTCAGTGTCGGGCATGTTTTGTTCTTTCACATCTATCAGTGAATGAGTCCTACTCAGAAGTGTAACCTTTTATTTTGTGTCGCAAAAAACGACAACTCTACACATCAGCATCGAACAAAGCATGGAATGGCGATCAAACCTCTACCTCAACTTTATAGACTTTGAGAAGGCCTTCGACAGCGTTGACCGTGAAGTAATTTGGAAATTACTCAAGTACTATGGCGTACCCCAAATATTCATCAACCTTATTCAACAGCTGTACGACAACGGCACATGTCAAGTCATCCACAACGGAAAACTCAGCGAGGTGTTTGGAGTACACACAGTAGTCAGACAAGGGTGCTTATTATCACCAATGATATTCCTAATTGCGGTGGACTGACTGGATTATGCGTCAGACAGTGGGAAACGAGAAACGGGACAGGGATATCCCGGACCGATGTGAAGAACCTAGAAGACCTGGATTTCGCGCGTGGATGATTTATGTTTGATGTCACTGTCACACAATC